TCCCCCCCCCCCAGTGGCTACTGGACGGCATCTGTCAGCCCCAGGGGTCGTCCGCATGTACGTGCAGGTTTGGGAGTCCGTTGATGAATTTTGAATAGGGCTCTGGGAGTGGTCGATCTGGAGATATTCAGCCCAAAAGTTGGTCCCTGGTGTTGATTAACTCAGGCCAGGGCTTCTAGCCCTTGATCAGTGAGGTTTAGAGATTTCCCGGTTGTTACATTGTCTTCTATTGAATTCTTCCCTTGGTTGCTCTGCAGTGTCCCAGGTGTTAATTGCTGTCTGCTGCTACAGTGTTACACATTCAATCACTGATTCACTCCAGGGCCAGCCTGATACAGGCAAGGGCAGTTTGATTCCTGCCCTTGTTAACATTGTTACAATGTATAACTTACTTATGAAACTAAAACACATTGAGTTGAAAGGTGAGGAGTATAAAATATAAGCTACAAATGCCATGGCACACAAATAGATAAAAATACCAAACTACAAGAGGAGATACAAAACGCACACATACAAATTTTAAAACACAATTCCTTATCTTAAAGTGAAAGAGAGAGGAAGGAAGAAAAGGTAGAAAAAGAGAAACATATCCAAAGAGGGGAGAGCAAATGCAGGCAAGAGGAAAAGGGGGCTTTCTGCTACAATGTCTAGTGGGTTTATGCATCTTCCCTTTCACCAACCCTGTTTCTTCTGTGGCCTGTAGCATCATAGGTGGTCTTAGGTACAGAATTCAGCAAGATGCCTTCAAATTGAAAAGTTACGGGCAACAAAAGAAACAAGACCAGGCAAAAAGAGCTAAAATCCAACATTCCTGGCTGCATGACTCACATTTGCTACGATGACTCAGGGTTTGTGCGTTTGCATCCCAGACAACAGAGAAATACTCAGACTCATCCTGGACACACGTACACATTGCCCTACAGCAACGTTGTTACTGTTCCATGCTTTAGTACTTCCTTTTGGAAGTGCTAAAGCATGGCACAGTAACCACCTGTACTACATCGGATGCGTAGCGCACAGTTATTTTTAGCAGCTACTTTGTCATAGTGGTGCGCTATAATCGGGGAGTGCACCACTATGATGAAGTAGCTGCTGGTAATGTGTAGACACCCATGGATGCTAATTCGCTGTAGTGCATTGTTACAGTGACATAGCATCACGTGTAGACGCACCCCCTGGGTTGGATTCTAATCTCAGTTGCACCAATGAAACTCAGATTAGGATCTAGTGGGATTACAGCGGATCGGAAGCATGCATGGAGCAGGCACTGGAGATTCTCTCCGTCTGACTTATTATTTGCATGTGGGTATATCATTAACTTCAAGCAAGGGCATAAATGAACCAGAGTTAAAACATGGGTGGATAGGAGCTGGGTGTTTTCACTAGCAGGTCATGGGAACCATGCCCCACCACAATAGGTAGCCCTAGCCACTGGATGTAGAGCAAAATGATGTGGAGAAGCTCGAGAGAGTCCAAAGGAGGGACAAGTGCATTAGTAGAGGCCTAGAGACCAGGTCATATGAGGAGAGACTGTGGAACTGTTTAGCCTGGAGAAGAGAAGACTCAGAGGTGATTTGGTGGCGGCCTATAAGTATATCAAGGGCATACATCAAGGCCTGGGAGAGCATCTGTTCACCAAGACCCCCCAGGGGAGGACAAGAAGTAATGGGCACAAACTGCTTGAGAATTGCTTCACACTAGACATAAGGAAAAACTTTACAAGTCAAGGGCCCAGGGTTTGGAACAGGCTCCCCCCAGAGGCAGTACAGTTATCTACCCTGGTGATCTTCAAAAAGCATCTTGACACCCATCTTGCTGGGGTCATCTGATGTTAGCAGTCTTTCCTGGCCAAGTGCAGGGGGACTGGGCCCAATGATCTGTAAGGTCCCTTCAGGCCCCTAACAACTATGAAACTATGAAAAGGATACCACCGGTCCTGCTGACCTAAATTGTGCCATGTTTGTATTAGCATCTACTGCCAAGGTTGCAACAGACCTCTTTGCTGCTCCTGTGCACTTCTGGATAATGAACACACAAAGCTTTACTGTGATATCGAGAAGGAGATCCAGCGGAGGCAGGAAGAGTTGATGAGCATGAGTGAAGAGCTGAAGCAAAAGAAGAACTGCTATGAAAGTGCCTACAACAGTCTCCAGAGCAAAGCCGACCAAATGGACCAGGTGTGGAAGGAAACCCAGGAGCTGATCCTTGAGAAGGTAGAGGAGATGGTCAAGCTGATCCGTGATAAGGGGGAGGAGCTGTTGAAGAGGGCAGAGAAGCAGCACCATGAGGGGCACCAGGACCTGAAGGGGAAGGTGCAGCACATGAAAGCCATGCTCATGAAGATGGAGGCTGGCCAGCAGCTGGTGGAGAAGATGCACCTCTATGCATCAGACCAGGAGGTGATGGACATGCACCCCTTCATCAAGAAGTCCCTGGAGGAGCTACAGAAGCAGCCACCCCTGACAACAGCAATCAAGATCCAGGTTGGAGACTTCTCTGAATGCAAAGCTGAACTCCAGGCCCTGGTTGAACAAGTGACGGGGAAACGAGGTAAGCAGCTTCCTCAGACCCGACCCATATGGCTACTGCTAGGTTAGACAGTTGCGTAGGGCCAGGCAGGGGCAAAAAGACCTGATGCAATGTCTGATAGACAGTACAGGGCTCTCTCATTGGAACTCTTGCTGTGCCGTGGTAATGACTAATTAATACACCTAGAAGGCTGAGCAGACCTTGTGCGTCTTGGAAGACCCAGAGCTACCTTCTTGAGGTGAGCCCAGTCCTGAGTCACTGCAGCTCAGGGGACCACACTGGGGGTGTCTACATCACAGCAGCAGAGAGCTTGGTGTCACGGCCAAGGCAATAAGCCCCACGCACCCACTCCTGCTCCATGGAAGTGAGGTGACGAAAACACTCTTGAGACCTTCCAACCTACTGGAAAGCCAGGCCTTGTGCCTGGGGCCAGAGGGACCCCGCAGCAAGTCCTCATAGGAACTGAGGTATGCAAAGTAGGTAGGTGGGATGATAAGACTGAACTCCCTGCCATCACAGTGTAGAGGCAGCCTCTGTGATCTGGCAGAAGTCTGGAGGACAGATTCACCACTGATATCAGTTCTACCAGGGATCAGTTTGGCACACTGGCCATGCTACCCTGAGCCTATTTCTCCCCTCCCCCTGTAGATCTGCACTGTAATGACATCTGAGGCTCATGGATGTTGTTTGGCTTGCTGGATTCCTTCAGCAGGCATCTAAACCCCTTTGGCTCCTTCCAAGCCCAACAGCCAGGGTTTTGGCTGAGTAATAATCAGAATGAAAACAAGCCAGGTCTCTCTCTTGGTCACTGCCCAGCCAGGCTCCTTGCATGGCTTGGAGAGAATCTGATGGCGTCAACCAGGTAGGGTTTTCCTGGCTGCATCTGAGAATAGCCCCCAAGCTCAGTGCCTCTGCTCCTTTGCAGATGCTGCCTCCTGTGATGCCCAGGCTGCTGTAGCTACAGAGATGTCTGCTGCTCACAACACGGTGAGAGTCTTTCCAGTTGGTGGCCCATCAAAAGGGTTGGGGGGAAGAGCCAGTCTGAAGGAAAATGGCTTCCTGGACAAACTTGTATTTTGATGTACCCCCCACCAGGTCAGCAGCACTGTTGCAAGCAGAGGCAGGGGCATGGGGGCACAGTCTGGTGGGAAGGCGGGGCCACCTGTACTGCCCTGCCCTGCCTGGCTACGCCTGAGCAGCAGCTGGAAGTGGGTGGTGGGCTGGGCTCCTCCTGCCTAGGGTGGGGATCGTCCGGAGCAGGATGGGGGCACTGTGCTGCTGTGTGCATGTATGCATTTGTGGCACCCCCCTTACACACAGACACGCACTAAGCAGTTGCCCATGTTGCCCGCCCCTAAGGCCAGCTCTGGGGGGAAGGATCTGTCAAGTCAGGTGCTGGGTGTAATTATGGGGCTGATGCTGCGCGGCGCAGTGGTCAAGTGCACAGATCCAACACAAGGTGAGGAATGCTGATGGGAGCAGGGAGCTCACAGGGCACCTGGTCTTGCCTGGATGGGCATGTGTGTCCTACCTGGTGATAGCAGGGAGGTGAGTGGGCCATTGGGCACTTCAGTGCACTGTGCTACAGCCCAGGTGGGTAGGATTCTCCACTGCCCTGCCCCTGGCAGTAATCCCTGGTAGGTATGAAACCCTCTTAACTCTGCTTAGGGGCCGAGCTCCTGCTTGACACCAATGTAAATGATTGCAGGGGGGTCCCTTGCCTGCACAGACCCACTAGTTCTCCAGCTACTCCCCTTTCTTTATCTTGCACATTCCCCTCTGCCTTCAGTAACCTTCACTCCTTCCCCTGCCAGTTTCTTTCTTGTTCTTTGTGATTCCCCTCCATGGGATCGGTCCACTGACTTCCAGTTCAGCGCCTCACATGGCTCTGCTTCTGCCTTCCCCTGAGTCCTAGTCTCTTCCTATGTAGGGACCAAGAAAGAATAATAAAAAGTAATGGCACATGTGCTATATATATGAAGCAGGTTGGTAATGGAGTTAAGGTCTAGTGAGGAGTGTTTGAAAGAGAGAGAGAGATCTTTATATCTCTCCGAAGGCAGAGGGAGATGAACAAGATATATGTATCTCAAACACTCCTCACTAGACCTTTACTCCATTACCAAGCTGCTTCTTTTGGGCTCTGCTCAGCAGGGGATCATGTAGGATACTTACAGTCAATATATCATTAGTAGGTTTCAGAGTTAATATCCCACTGAGATAAATGCCACAGTTTAGACCTCTCAGAGATGTTGTTTCAGGCTGCTTGCACACTCAGGCCACCCACATGATTTATGGGGTGGAGGTGGGCAGCACAGGACTGTCCCGCTCTCCTGCAGTGCCAGCCAGGGACCAGGCTTAATTCGTTCAAAAACCTAGTACACGCAAACTCTGATGCGATGCTCCAAAATAAACAAGTTTAAATTTTATAAACCTATTTAATGTAATGAGGATTAAACCCTGTGATGTGTACAGGCACCCTAGGTTCTGCACACAAAACTGCAGACATCTGGGACAGTAGCACAATGCTTCTCTCATCATCCTGCTCCTTTTGTGTCCTGCAGTCCTTGGCATTCCTTTTCAAGCTGCCATTTTCGTATGGAACAACCTCCCCACCTGCCAAAAACTTCCCCTTCCCTCTTTCACCTTGCTTCTTGCAACACAGTCCTCTTACCCAATCCCATTCACTGACCAGCCACTATTTCACCTGATATATCTTCTAAGGGTACTGTAGCCACCTTAGGACGGAAGCCACAGCTAGCTCCATGCTTTGCAAAGCACTGGGGCCCTAACTGTGGTGCTACAGAAGCAACTAAGAACAACCCCTATGATTAGATGGGTTATTCATACAGCAAAATCCTGCCCCCTGCGTGTTGTAAAGAAATGGGAGGCTGTATGGTTTGATAAATAGAGCCCTGGACTAGAACTTAGAAGAGCCGAGTCAAATTACTGGTGCTGGCCTGCTAAGCTACATTGGGAAGTCATTTCCTCTTAGCTCAATTACTGTTTTCCCACTGTAAAATGAGTCTAGTGACCCTGACCTCCCTTATAAAACCCTGTGGAGAGGGGTGCTAGATAACAGTTACACATGCTACAGGTGCTATAAAGCCATGGGTTCAACTGGGACCAAAATGTATTCCTGCCATTTATTGCTGCATAGAATTAAAGGCCATAAAGCGCTGTTGTGTTGAGAATCAAACTAGGTGACCAGCCAAGGAACTTCACCCCTGTGCCCAGCGACAAGGTGCCAGAGAACCCCAGTCCGATTCCCTTTTGAACTGAATCTATCACCCCACTGCCCCACCAGGTTAGGCCTCAAGGAGGCTGAGCCCAGGTAGGAACCAGTCACAAGCAGAGTGAATGCTGGGGACTGGTTTTCAAGACTTTTTACTCTCTTTCTAGGAAGAAGCATTCATCCAACCCAGGACGCAGGCAATCCCATTGCCTTTGTTCACCATCACGCTCGGGGAGCCACAGACCGGAGTGGTGAGTTTCCTGTTTTAAGCTGCTCCTCTCTGTTGCTCCATCTAACCATTTACCCTCCCTGTCTCTGCCCTGCCCCCATTGTACTAGCAGGAAGGAGGCCATCAGCCTACAGTACAAATGGACCAAAAGGTAGCGTGAAGTTCCCACAGTGAAGCCCAATCATACTAGCTCACACCAGCTATTTGGTTGCTCCCTCCATTTACAGGGCTTTGCCTGCTCAGATAGAATTCACTTCCCCAGCAAGCATATAAATTGTATGAGTAGCACCCAGTGCATTTGGGCCCTGGTCTTGATTGTGGGTCACTTGGATGCTACCCAACTAGCAGTGTTGCCAGACTGGGACTCCACACCGGGGCCTAGCTCCTCAACCCCGAGGGGAAACTACAGAGAAACTGCTAGAGGCCAAGCATCCATATAGCCAAGCCCCAGCTCCATGGTCCCTCCAAGAGCCATAGCAAAGAGGCTGAAAAGGCCTGGAGAATGAGGATGCCCTCCCCAGCAGAGGCAGGCTCTTCAGGGCCTTCCCAAAGGGCAGATGCTGAGTAAAACACCAAAGAGAGAGACAGCCCCTGCTGTGGAGAGCTTGGACTCTTGGCGCTGTTCTGCAGTCCAGGCTGCATCCTGTCCACAAAGCCAGGCCACCCTTTGGGCAACCCTTGAGTTGTGGGTAGTGGGGACACTTCCCAGCTATAGCAAGACCTCCCAGGAGGGGATGATACCAAGATTCATCATAGCAGCTCCCTTGGGTCTGTCTTGGGTGGGGAAGTCTTTTTAAAAGGTGCAGTTTACTCTTCTCTTGCCCTTCACACGCAGACAGCACTGCTAGCTCCTGTGGGGTAGGGTAGAGATTGTTACCTTCACTCCCTCCATGCATCTCTCTGCTCCCTCACCCTCTGTAGGCAACACCTGGAAATCTCTGGTAGCTGGAGAATAGCGTGGGAAGGGTTCTGCAGCTGCTAGTCACAGCCAGCCCTTTATAGCTTTACCCTGGTGCCCAGGAACTGGAAAAAAATCCAAAAAACAAAGGTCTGAGTGTTAACAGGCCCCAAACCTAACCTACAGCCCCTGGACACTATCAGACATTAGTACAGTGCTCTGTGGGCAGGAACTCCTTCCCCCATCACTTGTTTGCATTGCTCTCCAGGTCCCCTCCATCACCTCACCAGGCAAGAGGAAAATAAACCAGGTTGAAAAGGATAGTCAGACCTCTTCTCCCAAGGTACTGAAGTTGGAGTCTGAGGACAAGTGGCTGGAGTCAATGCCAAGGAAGCTTGACCAAGATTTGCCAGAAAGGGACCCCACACCGGGGCCTAGCTCCTCAACCCTAAAGAGAAACTGCAGAGAAAGAAGCACAACAAAAATAGATGGCTTCCCCAGTTCCTCGGAACATGCATACTCAGAGCCAGGAGATCAAGGTAGGTCAGGATGACCTGGAGTGTTACAGGGTGAGCTGTAGGGATTTCTGAAACCATAGATCCTTGGTCCAGCCAACAAGACATCACCACTGAGGTTCCTGTTTTGGGAGTCGTCATTCCTCCCTGCCTTGGACTACTGTGTAAGCATGTGATGCCAAAGTACTCTAGCAGTGTGGAACAAGGAGAGCACAGACACAGGCCTCCTGCAATCAAACCCTTTACATCTAAGAAAACAAACAGCAAGAGTCTTTTTCCAAATGGAGATCCCACTTGCCCACCAGCCCTTCCCAAGATGTTGAGTTTTAGTGACACATACCCATGGGTTTCAAGATTCATTTAGTCTAGTGTGGCTCTCTATGGATTTTGAAGATCTTTAATGGACCACGCAGGCAGATGCTGTGCAGAGGAGCTCTGGGGGACACTCAAAATGCATTCTCCCAAGAATTTCCATCATTCACTTCAACTTTGTTGGGTATAGAAGCATCCAAGTAAATTGCCTGCTAGAATACAGCAGCCATGCCTCTGGGCAGAGGATGGATTGGATCCATCTCAACCCTAGGATTCCATCAGAAGGAGACAGCTCATGCGCTTAAAGATTATGGTTCGATGAAAGACAGAGGCAAAGGAGAAGAGATGCATTTTCAAAGGCAAAGGTAGAGTGTCAGAGGAAGGAGGCCTTTTCCAGGAGGCAGGAGGAGGGAGGAGATGATGAGTGGTTCAGAGAGCAAGGCAGTAGGGAAGACAGGAAGCACATGATACACAAGGCTCTATGAATCCAGAGAATCACAGAGACAATGAATCCTGAAACCCATGGGAACCTGGTGAAGGGCAGTGATGTGATCATGCTCCTGGTTTAGCTTGGGAAGACTTGCAGCAAAGTCACAGCAGGAGCAGAACAAGCCTTGGATGTAGATGGGGGAGGGCAGGTTTGCAGTTCTATGAAGAGATTTCAGTGCCAAGGTTGACTGAGATGCGTCTGTACACACCCACACACACGCACACCTGTATACCACATGTACAGATATTGGGTCACATCATCTGACCGACCTGCAGGGTTTTTGGAATAACTCCTTGCATGTGTGCAGGCCAGACATCTCATGCCCTAATCAAAAGAAGTTCATTCCCAGGGAGTCAGAGCAGCCAAATAAAAAATAATCAGATTAAGTTAGGAGCTTGCCTGGGCAAATTCAAATACCTTGCTACAAGTTTCCGTAAGAGATTTTTTTCAAGCCAGTGCAAGCCAACTGGCTCCTTCACAGCATATCCAAAATCACAAGAGAAGAATTTTGGCTGTCTTTCCCCTTCCTGGAGTTTAGGAGCCCTCTCCCATCTGGCCATAAAGAAAAGACCCAACCCCGCTCCCCAATCTGATCTCTTTTCCCAAGAAATCAGGATCCCAAGTCAAGCATCACTGGTCTGCCAACAACATTTAAGAGTCCAGATTTTTCTGGTTAAAACCACAGATAGACTAAGCACAGCCCCAACTATAGATGAACTAGGAGATGTTCAGAGAACAGCAACTGAAAGTAAAGGAGTGGAAAGTGTTGATTGGCATGAAGACAGGAGGGTCTAAATGTGCACAGTCCACCTAGATGGCAATTCCACGACACACCTGAACCATGTTCTTCCAAGAGGGAGGTCTCAGGAGTATAACTAGGAGTGAGGAAGGCAATCCAATGGGAGATGGAAACTCCCAGGCTGTCTGACATGTTTCCCTGATATCTCCTGGCAGATTGGGACCTTGGAGATCAGCACAGGGGCTAGAAAGGGGCTCTGCTCAGGCTGCACATGAAAGTCAGCATGCATGGCAATACAGGAAATTGCCTCTCTGGGAAAGTTCTTGGTGCTGTAGGGAGCTCTAGGGCAGTGGTGCTCAACCTTTATCTCCAAAAGACTGGATGGGAAATGCCCGGTCCCTCCATAGGCTGAATCCAGTCAATGGACCCAATCCAGCACCTGGGGCAGGTGCAGCAGGTCCCCATCTGGCTGTGCAGCGTGGGGCAGGGGGCAGCTTTGTCTCAGTGTAGCTGTGTGGGGAAAGGGTGTAGTCCAGATTCGTGGGAGGGGAGAAAGGGGGCATGGGTTAGCCCAGAACCATCTGCACAGAAGGAATGGGGCATGGCCTGGCCCTGATTTGGCTGTGTAGGGAGAGGGTAGTGGCGCAGCTCTGACCCACCATGCAGGCCTTGGCATTTTGGCTGTGGGGAGGGGTGGCAGTATTAACTGCTACTGCTCCCCCAATGCCACATTTCCCAACCCCAGGGGAGCCCCACAGGTCACTCCAAGGCACTGCAGGCCGCATTCGACCCGCAGGCCAGAGGTTGAGTACCCCTGCTCTAGGGCAATACACAGGCCTCGACTGTCAGAGTGATCCTCTCCCACTGCTAAGTGCTGGGTGGGCAGGGAGGTACCTAAGCGCTTTGCCAGTTTTTTTCTGCCTGTCCTCCTGCACTCCCTTTACAAGGCCTTGGTGACTGTCATACACTGCATCTGTTCAGATGGGCGCTTGAATCTCTCTTCTTTTTTGGCAGAAGCAGCCAGCATCATCATAAGCAGCTCTGAAGACACTGATGACGACACAGTGGTGAGTGTAGTGGCAGTCCGCCCTCCTCGGTGAGCAGGCTTGTGGTGCCAAAATGAGCCAGACAAATAGAGGTAGTGAACATCAACCAACTCTTGTGCAGTCAGTGTAACAAATGCCAAGGCAGGCATAGTTGGATAGGTCTCTTCCACCTCTCCGGTGCTGCATTGAGCATGATTGTTCTCCCTGCTTAGTTCAGCGAGGGCTCTAAGGTAATGCACTGAAGTTTTGGTGCATCCTGATGCTTCATATTCATCCAGCATCTATGTGCATTTCCAGACACCTTTAGTTAGACAGCAGCTGTCAGGCATGCCAGACCCTCTTCCAAACACTAACATGGATTCCAAGGCTTTATCTATTGATTCCTCTCCCTGGATTTCATGCTCAGATATCAGCTACAGGAATCTGCTGGGATCTTTCCCTTAAGCCTATCTGGCCAGATGCCTCATCATCTGCCCTCTCTTTTCTTTCAGTCATTATGGCAGTTTATGCTGCATCACAGTTGGGGGGCGGGTGGCTCTTGCCTGTAGCAGTAGCAAAGACAGGTCCTCAGCTTCTACCTGACTGGATAAGAGCCCTGCTAAAACAAAGTTGATTGTGGATTTTCCCTCCGAGGGAAAGATGTGATATAGCCACACCTTCTCCTTTTCGAGTGTGTGACACCCCATAGCTGATGGCATGAGGTGCTTGGGAGGGCAGTTTCTGAGGCAGTGACTAGGGCACTGGACTAAGACCCCAAAGCCCCGGGTTTAACCTCCAGCAGCCTGCTGGGTGGCTGTGGGCAAGCCACTTCACCTCCCACACCTCAGCGTGTGGATAAGGATACCAACCTCCTTTGCACAGCGCCTAAGCTCTATGGAGAAAAGCGCTATGTAAGAGCCTGGTATGCTCTCAGAAAGCCTCTCTCAGGTGGGCACAGAGTAGAGGGCTGTTCACTACATCGTGACAGGCAAGCAGGGTGCAGCCAGCCCAAACACAATGCCAGAGACTGAGTCTAGTGACCCTGACCTCCCTTATAAAACCCTGTGGCGATGGTGCTAGATAACAGTTACAGGTGCTACAGGTGCTATAAAGCCATGGACTCAACTGGGGCCAAAATTTATTGCATAGAATTAAAGGCCACAAAGTGCTGTTGTGTTGAAAGTCAGACTACGTGACCAGCCAAGGAACTTCACCCCTGTGCCCAGCGACAAGGTACCAGAGAACCCCAGTCCAATTCCCCTTTCAACTGAATCCATCGTGCCCCTGCCCCACCAAGTTAGACCTCAAGAAGGCTGAGCTCAGGTAGGGGCCAGTCACAAGCAGACTACATGCCGAGGACCAGTTTTCATGACTTCTTTGCTCAGTGTAACAAATGCCAGGTAGTGGTATAACCCCACCAAAGCCAATGGAGGCACCCAAAGAAACGTTTGGCCCCAGGTGCCCTCACCTCTCAGACACGTCCTCTTCATTGACTATAAGTATAGGATGAGCAGTGCAGATTCCCTTCTCACCCTGCTACCAGACTTAATATTAGACTTTAGGCAGTGGTACTGAATTCATAAATGCTTGAACAAGAATAGTCCGTTCACTGAAGAGAGCATTTATTGAGCACAGCACTTTGCAACTTCCAGTATGCAACAAAGAACAATTGAAGAACTCCACCAAAGCTAAGGCACAACCCAGTAAGACCCAGTGACAGCACACACAACTTAGGCTAACTTAAAATGCAACTTAATAAGCCAAAGAGACAACAGAAAGCCTTGCAGAGATCTTAGGTAATCCTGAGGGTAGAGTGTCTTCTTGTAGCCAGGTATTCAGAAAGTCTTTCTGGAGGGATTTTTCTTTTCTTTGAATTGTGGTGTCTCAGACCAAATCAGCAAAATTAATTCCGAATCCTATCAACTGAGCAGAGCTCAACCATTCAAGTCTGTGTGGTACTACAATCAGCAAGTACTCTACCTTCCAGAGTCTTCAGCCTTTGTGCCCTCTTGCCCCCTTTGATCTGTGTAGGGATTACCTCCTTTGGGCTTGGAGGATCGTCTCCTTAAGGAACGACCACTCTTCTTGGACACCCAATTCCCCCCCGGGACCTCAGTGTCTCCCCGATTATTCTCCTTACCTCATTGAAATCCACCCTCCTAAAGTCCAGGGCTGATGCCTTGCTGTAGGCCTTCGCCACCTTGCACCAGATGGTGAATTCCAGCAGGCGACGATCGCTGTCACCCAGGTGGTCGAGCACCCGCAGTCCCACCACGTGTCGAGCACCCCCCCACAGGTCGAGCACCCGCAGTCCCCCCTACTCTTCTCCTTGCATCCCACGTGTATCCCATGTCTCTCAGGAGACTCGCGCATTCATCATCTCTGTCTCTTGCCTCTATGCCTGACGGAGGGTGACTGCGCCCAAAAGCTTGCCAAGAACTTTTTTCCAACTACTCGGTTAGTCTAATAAAAGATAAAAGATAATACATCTACCCAAAGAACCTTGCTTGTCTCTTCTTAGGTATTCCAGTCTCTTGCCCCTTACAGATTTTACTTTGAAATATAAATGTAGCCCCCTGTCGTCTTCCCCTCCTCAGCCACATCAGGTCATGCACATAACATCTATCATGTAGCTTCATGACGGAAAGGCCCCACATTTGTGATGACTGTGCCGGGTCTTTGCCAGCAACCCCTTGTTACTAAGGATCTAGTCATCCTCCTCGTTCTGTGGGGCAGCACAGGTTGTCAGCAAACCTTTCAGTTCTCCCAGCTCACGGGCCTTCCTCCAGCCATCGTGGCGAAAGGTGCCCAATTCTCCACTGCACCTTATGTAGTTGCTCACAGCTATGCAAGGCATGATATGGAGGGACTGCATTGTTGCAGGGCCTGTTCATGTCATGCATGTCTGACTACCTGAGGAAGTGGAGAACCTGCACCTATGGTTTCATTAATGTCTGCAGCTGTTTCAGTCTTTTTTTTCTTACCAATGGTTTGCCCACAAGTCCTTTTCAGATTCATCCTACACCCCACAACCAAACAAAGCTTGGCAGGTGGCACTTCTGAAAGGGCCCTTTCAGATCAATCTGTACAAACGTTCCCCACCCTGGGGGATTAATTGCCTCCTTTGTTGGTGCTGTCTTGCCCTGGTCTGCAAGCAACACTCAGCCCAGCTCCCAAACAAAGCCTCAGCTCCAGAGTCGTATCCAAACATTGCATCTTGCTTGGGCTTTCCAGAGAGAGCAGGAGGGATTAGGAACCCAGCTCCCTCACAAAGCCAGGCAGGGCACCTTGTGGAGCTTGGCCCTAATCCTAGCCTCAAATGAAAATACAATCATATCCAGCCAGGCAAGAATGACTCCCTCTGGTGCCCCCCAAATGGAATTTTTCTTGTAGCCCGTGCCCCTTGTTACAGCGTTCCCATCAAATCGTACCACTAAAATTATTTCTCAGTGGTGCTAATATAACACTTAAGTAGTAGAAAGTATCTGGCATGCATGATCCTCAGTTAGGTTCTTTAAGCTTCACATAAATAGCAGCTGTCAAGTGTATTTCAGCATCAAGTTGCCATAAAGCCATGCATTGCTGTGGTTACTGGTAGTATCTATTTTCTGCAAACTTGATTTCTAACTGGTGGTTTCTGTTGATTGTGATTTACACAGGCAAATTCAGGCTGGGATTTTTGTTCTTGGGTCAGAGATTGATCATGCGAGAAAATGCACTTGAGCAGCTCAGGTATTTTGGAAAATGTGGGGGAAATACATTAGTCCCTGTTCACTGCAATCTGAAATTTTGTCCTCCGCTCATTCAGTCTGATTCAAGTGAGCTGGTCCACTTATTCTTTCCTTTCCTTTAATATTACACAGGTATAAAATTGAACTGATTTCAGTGCACTCTTGAGCTGTACCAACAGACGTGAGAGAGGAGCTAAAGCCAGGAACTTCAAACTTGCTGCATTCCTTAGCTCTCAGACTTAAAAATGCCCCCACAGGATTCGTTTGAAGGCAAACCCTGCAGACAGTTTGAAGTTACGATTATTTGAAGCTGGGAGATTTGCACGTGTATTTTAGACATTTCCTTTTTTCTTACTCATTTTTAAGGACACCTCTGACTATAACAGCCTTGTTACTCATACCGCCTGGTCATTGGAGAATAAAAAGAGCCCATAATCACCAACAGACAAGCATCTCCTGTTGAACGAACATAACACTTCTGCTGCGTCAGCAGACTCAGTAGCTTCCTGTCAAGAAACTGATAAAACATCTGAGTTAAAGTTGTTACATCTACAGCAGGGGCAGGCAGTTATTTTGGCTGGAGGGCCACTTACCAAGTTTTGACAAGCTGTCAAGGGCCACATGGGTAACTCCGCCCCTTGACAGGGGCCCCGCCCCTGCTGCCATCTTGTAACTGGCAGTCCCACCCCCTAACGCCTAACCTTTGCCACCAGGAGTCCGTCCCTTTGCCCCCGGAAGTACTGATTTCAGCAAGGGGTTGTGCCATCTTGGAACCAGAAAAATACCAAGTTATGTTCTAAAAATTGAACATCTATGACAGTCATTAATTTGATTTAAAAATATATTTTTGTCCTGATTTACATGTATTTGTATAGTGCACATAAAGGTGATTGCACAATAGCTTAAAATGAAGTCTAGCTCTTGTATATTGGGGGGGGCATGGGGAGGTGGGTATAGGTTTGTGGGGAAGTCTGGGTGTATGGGGTGTGGGTGTCCCTGCTGGCACAGCCCAGCCCAGCTCCATAGAGCCCCTGCCAGTCCAGCCCCACACTCCTGCTGGCCCTGGCCCCAGGACACTGGTGCAGGTCCTGTGCTCCTAACTGTCACTGTGCTCCTGCACACCCACTCTCTGCCACTGCCCCCCACCCCACCTCCCCTGCCTGCTACTGCTTTTACAACTTTCCTGCCCACAGCCACCATGCTTCAGCACCATATGGTTCCTGGCTGCATGGCCGCGACCACATGACTCAGCAGGAGCTGGCCCAGCCCAGCCCCAAGGCCTGGGACAATTGCCCATGGTCCTCTCCTGCCTCCCCACCGCCCTTATCTGAATTTCCCTCTCTGGTGGAGGGAGGTGGGAACAGCCCTAGGGCCCCAGGCTAGAAGCCTCTTGCTGCTGAGATGCTGGGTTCTGCTGCCGGCTTCCCCTGGGTCCTACTGCCCCTGGCTCCTGTCATCTTTGACAAGCAGCCAGGAGCAGATAAATATTCATTTTCTAAATATTTTAGGGGCTCCGCAGGCCAGATAGAATGGCCTGGTGGGCCAGATCCAGCCCATGGGCTGTATTTTGCCTCCCCCTGATCTACAGAGATTTCCATAAGGCTTTCAGTGTCAGACACCCACTGAATTTACTGTAGATGTTCCCCCAGGAGAAGACTACAGCATATTTCAAAGATAAAATTGGTAGCAGAAATGGCCTTGTATGCCCTTAAATTAACCAATTTAAGGATGTTTGAAATGAAATAAGCTAAATTTGGGGTGCAGACACACACCATATTCACTACATAGTAAAGAGGCTTTACTCTATAGTAAATAAAAGTAGAGCGGACAAATGACACCGAGCCTTACACTAATCTACGTCATTCCTCTCCTTACTCTAAAAAAACATGGAGTATACCTGTTGTGTGTCTAGTCTATTTAAACTTGGGACAACCCTTTGCTCAATGCAAGCCATTATAGCCCCTACTGTGGGCAGACAGGTTTAGGGAGGTAGTTGTGTGTTTGCTCTTTACTATGGAATAAATTTACTATGGACTAAAATTCAAGATAAATTACATTACAGTAATCCTGGTGTGTGTCTGCACCCATGTAATCTGAAGTGGGGGTCAGCAGGAGTCTTTCCATTGACTTTGAGAAGCGTTGGAACAGACCCTTGGACATATTATCCTTAGAAATATAAGTTTCTTTGTAACTTTTTAAACCAGCACCAGCAATTATGTAGAACCTATGACAACAAGGCTTCTCTTTAAAGCAAAGGACCACATTTTATCTCTTTAATTTGCAGGAATTATAATAGCAGGGGTGCAGATAAGATTCCATACAAGACTGGGAAAGGATTCATGGCTGATTTTGGGAACTACACCAGCTTTTATTTCTAAGTTCATCTCCTGCCAATATTAAATAGATGGGTTGAGAAGAACCATTTTTATAGGGGAAGGCTGAGGGGATGAGATGGGAGAGTGGCAGATGTAAAATGGCATTTTTGTATGGGATAATCATGCAGGAATATATGATGTTCATTAATTTCCAATAAAAATATTTCCAAAATAAAAAAGGGAATGCTTCCTTTCTCATCCTTTGCCATCTCTGCCTTCCTGGGATGGACTGAAGCTAAGAACGACCTAAATCCAATCCGGTCAAGGAACCGGTGCTAAAAAGGTCAAGGTGCTTACATCACTTCTGCTTCTAATGCTGTTTCTTCCTAGGGAGTCCTCACACCTGCTGGCATATTCTTTTGGAGGCCACATAAAATGACCATGGGGTCACATGCAAACTCTCCTGGCTCTGCTATGAATTTGCTTCACCTTTCAGTCTCTGTTTCCTGACCTGGAGGTGGTCACATACCCTCTCTTCTCTTCCATAGGTGGTGTGAGGATGAATTAAGGCTCGTGTCCATTCAATGCAGTGAACATACGGGGTGTTTCAGTACTCTGAATCTTTCTTTACTGTATGGGGTTCCCTCTGCATCTTTCTTTATTGCTACTCTGCATCTGTCTTTACTGTATGGAGTACCCTTCCAGGTCAGAGTCTGTATTCAGGGACCCACCCCTCACCTGCTTTCATCAAACGACACATGCTGAAAAATCCTTTGGCTCCTTTTGCAACTATTCTGAATATCACTAATCTGAACCCATTGTCATAATGGACATAGCTAAGAATACCCTTCACCACATTATGCTTTTCAGACCCTAAGTTAGATAACATAACTTCTGCTGTTTTCATAAAATTATCTCCAGAATTATCTGCCTTATCCCTATTATAGACAATCACTGAGGGGCAGAAACAAAGAAAGAGGTGAAGGTGCAAGCTAGGATCTAGATCAGCTGTTCCTTTTTCAGTCTTCCCAGGCTCTGAGACCCACTCCCCTAGCAAGGAGCTGACAACCTTTAGTTCATACTCCCCTCTCCATGACTATGCTCATATTCCTCCCACCCCCACCTCCAGCCTCCTGGGTATGGGACATTTCACCTTTGCTGATATTCCAACAAAATTATTCAAGGCTGGGGATGCTACAAATCCGTCTTTCCCTGTCTCATCCCACATGCAGGCAACCCTGGCACTTAGCAAGGTTACTATTAGCCTTCTTTCCCTGTGTTCTAGGTAAGCTCAGCTATGAAACTTTATAAAAATACGTACACAGTTAACACAGAAATATTACAACAAACCCCACAGTCTGTTACAAACATGAGCACTGAAAATTGGAGCCCTAGAATCAATACCTCTAGAGGACTGGCTGGTGACAAAGACATCAAATGCTGTGAATTCTGTACCCAGAAATAACCGCTTTTGCCTTCATGAGGTTCATATTATTAATCACTTGGTGAGAGGCAACAATTTCTCAGGATGATATTTTTTATTGGACCAACAGTGTAATTGGGATAAAGTCAGACAAGCTTTGGAATTCTTTGTCAGGTGTCAAAGACCTGGTGAAAAATGTCTTGCATTCAAAGGCTTGTCAAACTTTTTCCAAACTGTAGTTGATCCAATAATAAATATCATCCTAAGAAATTAACTGGGACTAGCGACCCGGATCAAAGATAACAGGATCTGGGACTAGCGACCCGGATCAAAGATAACAAGATCTGGGACTAGCGACCCGGATCAAAGATAACAAGAAATCCTTTTTTAAATACATAGAGGGTAAAAAGAAGGTACCAAGTAATGTGGGGCCTCTGCAGGACATGCTTGGTAATCTGGTGGTAGCACCAGACGACAAAGCTAATCTCTTTAACAGATTCTTTGCTTCCATTTTTCTGAGCAGGGACAGGGACATCCCCCACACTGGGACCCCGGATGGACCCAGGGGAGGCGCAACCAGGCCTAGGGTCAGTGAGGACCGAGTCAGGGAACGTCTGGAGGGACTAGACGTGTTCAAATCGGCAGGTCCTGATGATCTCCACCCCAGAATGCTGAGGGAATTAGCAGAGGTCAAGCACTCGTGGTGCTCTGGCATGGTGCCAGAAGGCTGGAAAAGGGCCAATGTGGTCCCCATTTTCAAAAAAAGGGAGGAAAGAGGACCCAGGAAACTATAGGCCCATTAGTCTTACCTCGGTCCTGAGGAAGCTCCTTGAGAAAATTATCCAGGAGCACATCTGCGAGGGGCCAGCAGGGGAGATTATGCTTAGGGTCAATCAACATGGGTTCATTAGAGGCAGGTCCTGTCAGACCAACTTGGTGGCCTTCTATGACCAGGTCACAAAAGTCTTGGACGCAGGTGTTGCGGTGGACATAGCCTTTTTAGACTTTAGGAAGGCCTTCGACACTGTCTCTCACCCCATTCTCATTAAAAAATTAGGCAACTGTGGTGTTGATGCCTACACAATCAGATGGGTCCCTAACTGACTGGAGGGCCGCACCCAGAGAGTGGTGGTGGACGGGAAATTTTCAACCTGGAGGGATGTGGGCAGTGGGGTGCCCCAGGGCTCGGTCCCAGGGCCTGCACTGTTCAATATCTTCATCGGCAACTAGAAGGAGGGGGTGAAAAGCACCTTGTTCAAGTTTGCAGATGACACTAAGATGTGGGGAGAAGTGGGCATGCTAGAAGAGAGGGACAGGCTACATACAACTAGATCTGGACAGGTTACAGCGGGCAGATGAGAATAGGATGGGTTTCAATACGGACAAGTGCAAGGTGCTGCACCTGGGTTGGAAGAACGAGCAGCAGACCTACAGGCAGGGGAACTCCTTTCTCATCAGCACGGAGGCAGAAAAGGATCTTGGTGTCGCTATTGATGCCAAGATGAACATGGGCCGACAGTGTGGGGACACGGTCAGGAAGGCCAACCGTACCTTGTCATGCATCCACAGATGCATCTCAAGTAGGTCCAAGGAGGTGATCCTCCCCCTCTATGCGACACTGGTCAGGCTGCAGTTGGAGTACTGCATCCAGTTCTGGGTGCTGCACTTCAGGAGGGATGTGGACAGCATGGAGAGGGTCCAGAGGAGGGCCACCCACATGATCAGGGGGCAGCAGGGGAGGCCCAACCAGGACAGGCTGCGGGACCTGAACCTGTTCAGCCTCCACAAGAGAAGGCTGAGAGGGGATCTGGTGGCCATTTACAAACTAGTCAAGGGGGACCAGCAGGCATCGAGAGAGTCCTTGTTCCCCCGAGCACTACTAGGCTTAACAAAGAACAATGGCCATATGTTGACTGAGAGTAGATTCAGGCTAGATATCAGGAGGTGCCACTTCACAGTCAGGGCGGCTAGGATCTGGAACCAACTTCCAATGGAAGTGGTGCTCGCTCCTACCCTGGGGGTCTTGAAAAGGAGGCTAGACAGCCACCTAGCTGGGGTCATTTGACCCCAGCATCCTTTCCTGCCCATGGCAGGGGGTCAGACTTGATGATCTGCTTAGGTCCTTTCCAACCCTACCAACTATTAA